AATAGATTTATTTTGGAGATGTGGGGTATCGATCCACGTACCTCTCGCATGCCCACAATTCTTACATCATAAAACCCAATAATAGTGAAAATGAAAAACTATCCCTGCTCATTTTGTTGTAAATATGAAAAATTTGAAAAGAAATAATATATTTAATAATCCATTCATTTGGAGATGCAAGGTATTGATCCCCATACTACCCACAAGTGAGCGCTCTACCATTTGATCTACATCCTTACAACTCTTACATCAGAAAATCCTAAACGTCCCGTCATCAATAATTGTGTAAATGAAAAAATATCTCGGCTCATTATGTCATAAATAAGGAAAGATTGAAAAGAAATAAAATATTAATAATAAATAATTTCTTTCAGAGATGCAGGGCATAGATCTCGTACCTTTCGCATGCTACGCGAGCGCTCTACCATCTGGGCTATAGCCACAATTCTTGAATCACAAAACCCTAAATTTTTTGTCATCAATAATAGTAAAAATGAAGAAATATCGCCACTCAACATGTCATGAGTAGAGATAGTTTTTCGTTTTCACTATAATTGATGATGAGACGTTTAGGGTTTTGTAATGTAAAACTTGTGGGGACGTAGCTCAGATGGTAAAGTGCTCGCTTTGTATGCGAGAGGTATAGGGATCAGGATACCTTTCATCCCCAAAATAAAATGGTCTATTATTAAATCTATAAGGAAAGATTGAACAAAAATAAAATATTAATAACAAATAGTATCTTTTGGAGATGCAGGGTATCTCGATCCCCATACCTCTCGCATGCTAAGTAAGAACTCTACCATTTGAGCTACATCCCCGGAATACTTGCACCACAAAACCCTAAATTTTCCGTCATCAATAATAGTGAAAAATGAAGAAATATCACTACTCAACATATCATGACTAAGGAAAAATTGAAAAGAAATAACATATTGAAAAGAAATATCTATCCCATTAAGGAATCACCATATTCTAGAGCATTTAGAAATATAGAGCAGAGTGTTTGGGGTATCGATCCCATACCAATCGCATGCAAACAGAGCACAGAGCACTCTACCATCTTATCTACATTCCCACAATTCTTGCCTAACAAAACCCAAAACTGGGCGCCATCAATAATAGTGAAAATGAAAAAATATTTCTGCTCATTATGTAAAAAATAAGGAAAAATTGAATAGAAATAAAATATTAATAACGAATAGTTTTTTCAAGAGATGCACTCTACCATCTTAGCTACATCCCCATAATTCTTACATAACAAAACCCAAAACTGCATAGTTTCTTCAAGAGATGCACTCTACCATCTTAGCTACATCCCCATAGTTCTTACATAACAAAACCAAAAATCCTCGTACCTCTCGCATGTAAAAAGTGCACTCAACCATCTTACCTACATCCGCACAATTCCTACATCACAAAATCCTAAACGTCCCGTCATCAATAATAGTGAAAATGAAAAACTCCCTTTGATCATTATGTCATAAATAAGATTAATAATTGATAGTTTTTCTTTGGAGATGCATGATAGCGATCTCCGTACCTCTCGCATGCAAAGCAAGTGCTCTACCATTTAAGCTACATCTGTATAATTCTTATAGCACAAAACCTTTAAAATTTCCATCATCAATAATAGTGAAAATAAAAAAATATCTCTGCTCATTATGTCATAAATAAGGAAAGATTGAATAAAAATAAAATATTAAATAAGGAAAGATTGAATAAAAATAAAATATTAAATAAGGAAAGATTGAATAAAAAATAAAATATTAAATAAGGAAAGATTTTCTTAGGCACAAAACCTTTAAAATTCCCATCATCAATAATAGTGAAAATAAAAAAATATATCTGCTCATTATGTCATAAATAAGGAAAGATTAAATAAAAATAAAATATTAAATAAGGAAAGATTGAATAAAAAATAAAATATTAAATAAGGAAAGATTTTCTTACGGCACAAAACCTTTAAAATTCCCATCATCAATAATAGTGAAAATAAAAAAATATATCTGCTCATTATGTCATAAATAAGGAAAGATTGAATAAAAAATAAAATATTAAATAAGGAAAGATTGAATAAAAAATAAAATATTAAATAAGGAAAGAAGAATATGCTGGGTATCGATCCCCATGGCTCTTGCATGCAAAGAGTGCACTCTACCATCTTAGCTACATCCCAACAATTCTTACATAACAAAATCCTAAATGTCTCATCATCAACAATAGTAAAAATGAAAAAAATATTCCTGCTTATTATGTCATAAATATGTCATAAATAAGGAAAGATTGAATAAAAATAAAATATTAATTAACAAATAGTTACTTTTGGAGATGCTGGGTATCGATCCCCATGGCTCTTAAATAAAAAGAGTGCACTCTACCATCTTAACTACATCCCAACAATTCTTACATGACAAAATCCTAAATGTCCCATCATCAACAATAGTAAAAATGAAAACTATCCCTGCTCATTATATTCTAAATAGAAATAGAATATTTGGTAGTAGGATTCCTTTAGAGATACAGGATATCTCCTCACAATTCTTATAACACAAAACTCTAAATTTTCGGTCATAAGAAATATCGCTACCCATCATGTCACGAATAAGGAAATATTGAATAGAAATAAAATATTAATAACAAATAAATTCTTTTGGAGATAAGAGTTATTGATCCCCGTACCTCTCGCATACTAAGCGAGCACTCTACCATCTGAGCTACATCCCCACAATTCTTATTTCACAAAATCCTAAATGTCTCGTCATCAATAATAGTGAAAATGAAAAACTATCTCTGCACCTTATGTCATAAATAAAAATAAATTTAATAATTGATAGTTATCCTTTAGAGATGCGGGGTACAGTCCCCATACCTCTCGCATGCAAAGCGAGTGCTCTACCATCTAAGCTACATCCCCATAATTCTTACTTCACAAAATATTAAATTTTTCGTCATCAATAAAAGTGAAAATGAAAAAATATATCTACTCGTTATGTCATAAATAAGGAAAAATTGAATAGAAATAAATTATTAATAAAAAATAGTTTCTTTTGGAGATGTTGGGTATCAATCCCCATACCTCTTGCATGTTAAGCGAGGCTCTACCATCTAAGCTACATTCCCACATTGCTTGCATCACAAAATCCTAAATTTTCCGTCATTAATAATAGTGAAAATGAAGAAATATCGCTACTCAACATGTCATGACTAAGGAAAAATTGAAAAGGAATAACATATTTATAATAATATATAGTTTCTTTTTGAGATGCGGGGTATCGATCCCCGTACCTCTCATATGCTAAGCGTTCTAGCATCTGAGCTACATACCTACATTTCTTACATCACAAAACCCTAAACATCTCGTCATCAATAATAGTAAAAATGAAAAACTATCCCCGCTCATTTTGTTATAAATATGAAAAATTTGAAAAGAAATAATATATTTAATAATACATTCATTTGAAGATGCAAGGTATTGATCCCCGTACTACCCACGAGAAGCGAGAGCTCTACCATTTGATCTACATCCGCACAACTCTTACATCAGAAAGTCCTAAATGTCCCGTCATCAATAATTGTGTAAATGAAAAAATATCTTGGCTCATTATGTCATAAATAAGGAAAGATGGAATAGAAATAAAATATTATTTGAAAAGAAATAATATATTTAATAATCCATTCATTTGGAGATGCAAGGTATTGATCCTTATACTACCCACATGAGAAGCGAGCGCTCTACCATTTGATCTACATCCGCACAACTCTTACATTAGATAATCCTAAACGTCCCTCATCAATAATTGTGTAAATGTAAAAATATCTCGGCTCATTATGTCATAAATAAGGAAAGATTGAATAGAAACAAAATATTAATAACAAATAGTTTCTTTATCTCGGCTCATTATGGTATGGATCCCCGTACCTTTCGCATGCTACGCGAGCGCTCTACCATCTGGGCTAAATACCCACAATTCTTGAATCACAAAACCCTAAATTTTTCAACATAAATAATAGTAAAAATGAAGAAATATCGCTACTCAACATGTCATGAATAAGGGAAAATTGAAAGTAAAAAATATTTTTAATAATAGATAGTTTTATTTTGGGGATGAAAGGTATCGATCCCCATACCTCTCGCAAACAAACCAAGCACTTTACCATCTGAGCTACATCCCCACAAGTCTTATGTTACAAAACCCTAAACATCTCGTCATCAATAATAGTGAAAATGAAAAACTATCTCTACTCATCATGTAGTAAATATGAAAAATTTGAAAAGAAATAATATATTTAGTAATCAATTCATTTGGAGAAGAAGGTATCAATCTCGTACTTCCCACATGGGAAGCTTTACCATCTAAGCTACATCCCAATGATTCTTACATCAGAAACCCTAAATGTCCCGTCATCAATAATTGTGAAAATGAAAAAAATATCTCCGCTCATTATGTCATAAATAAGGAAAGATTGAACAAAAATAAAATATTAATAACAAAAAGTATCTTTTGGAGATGCAAGATATCTCGATCCCCATACCTCTCGCATACTAAGTAAGCACTCTACCATCTGAGCTACATCCCTACAATACTTACACCACAAAACCCTAAATTTTCCATCATCAATAATAGTGAAAAATGAAGAAATATCGCTACTCAACATGTCATGATTAAGGAAAAATTGAAAAGAAATAATATATTTAAGCATCAATCCCCGTACCTCTCGCATGTAAAGCGAGCTCTCTACCATTTGCGCTACATCCCCACGATTCTTATGCCACAAAATCCTAAACGTCTCGTCATCAATAATAGGTCCAAAATGGGAAAAATTTGGTATAATTTATCAATCATTTCGACATAGAATGCATTGATATTATATTAATCCAATTATTATTTGGATTATTTAAGGCTTATCAATTCACACACAATTGCGAATGTATGTATTTAACTGGTGTCATTTTATTGAATTTATTTACTTCGTTTTATTCTACAACCTCTCTTGAAGGGGCATTCCGAGAATCGAACTTGAGACCTCTCGCACCCAAAGCGAGAATCATACCATTAGACTAAATGCCCTTGTTAAGCCACTTCAAACGTATGTATGAATCCTTGGGCCTTGGTATTAAGGTCGTATTTTGTCGTATTGCAGGAAACACATGAAGTCCTCGATGCGCTTGAACTAAAGCCTTGGATGTAGAATGTGTCTTGGAGAACAAAACAATAAAATGATATTAAGAGCATTATCATTATAGTTTTAATGGACTTCATTTTTGTTTTTCTTCTTTTTTTTTCTTTTTTTTTTCATTATTTCCTAAGAGGGTAAGTATAAAGCCTTGGGATGAAAAGAAAGACTTTAGGTTGCTGCTGAATGGCCAAGCCATTGCGAACCTGCTTAAGTTTTGATATATCTTTTCTAATTCCTTTATGTCGACTTTGTTGCCCAACAATTGGTGTAGAGAAGTTAAGAGGTATGTTTGAAAAGTAAATAATAGGAACAACAAGTTTATATAAATATGAAGTCCTTCGATAAGAAAAGATTTAGACATAGGGGCATTTGAGGTTGCACCCTAAGTGAGGGTCGTACCACTAAACCAAATGTCTTTTCTTAAATACCCAATATTTTTAGCTTCTACTCAAATATATATTTCTCAGAGTGGTTCGATCGCTATAAAAGAAGTTGATAGTCTAATATTTTACATGTAATGGTTATCAAATAAACAAATAACCAAACAAAGGAAACAAATTAATCAATTTGGGTTGGATTGATTCGGTTCAGTTCATCAGTTTGTTTGACTAAATTCTTCTACTTTACCTCGTATGCCAACAAAATAAAGTTTTATTGAATGCACGTTAGTTTTATTTATGACAAACTCATACGAAACATAATTGCATTAATAGCACTCAGAGTTGGAGTCTATAAGTTTTTCATGAACCTAAGTGCAAATCATGCTTCATTAAAGATGAGATAAACTTTAGTTAAGTAACGGGACCTTTAAATTGCTTCATGTGGAGCTTCAATTTCTCCATGCTAGTTACCATCTTTAGGATTGACTAATTGGATATGAGTTCATTGATTTAGGGAAATTTTTGTGTAATTATCAACTACAACTTATGTTTACAAATTTTTAGGTCATAATTTAAGTAGTTGGTGTTATGAGTCGTAAACTTGTTTCTTTGCATAATATGGATTTAGTTGAACTTTTATTACCGATAAGATGGAGAAAGAAATTGTCTTTGAACCCATTTTAGTTTCATGTTTGGCATGTTCAAGATAAAAGCATAATTGTATTTATGATATTGAGCTTGGAGTCTATAAGAATTTAATGATCATAAGAGAAAGTTTTATTAGAGGAGACCAACTTTATTTAAGGTATTAGGAGTTCAAACTGGCTTAAGAGTTGTGGGCGTGCTCATTTTATCCATGTTCTCCACTTCCTCTCATGTCTTCCTCTTCCTCCATCACATTCTTTATTTCTCTTCCCATTTCTCAATCTCCAACTCATCCTTTCTGTATCCCTAACGAATGCGGATTTGAATAAAGAAGGAGAAAAAGAAAGAGAGTGAAGGAAGTCGGTATGAATTTAGCTTTGGAACTAGACATCGATGAGTATGATCTAACGAACATCAATACAAAATATTTAGTGACTTCTCTTTGGACCAACCAGGTAAGTAGTGTTACTATTGGCTTGGTTTGATGAATTGTATGAGGTATTAACAACGCGTGCTCCATAGCCCCTTCATGTGTCGTACTTTGTGAGTGTTTAACATGTATTATGTTATGTTATGTTGTAACACGAGTTCAAATGAGGATTAATTTCTCAATTTTTTTTTTAAGTTCAAATTTTTAGGAATTTATTGAGAGATTTAGAGACTGAATTTAAATATGATATGGAAGAAAAAAATAGTTACAAAAATTAAAAAAGCTCAAGTATAAAAGAAAATAGTAAAAAAATAGGAAAATCAGTCCAAATTAATGATAGGGTAAAATTTTCATTTTGACCCATCTTTCCTAACCAGGGGACAGTAAGATCCCTAACTAGAGTTCAATAAAGAGGAAAAATAAAGAAAGAAAAAAAAGGGGAAAAAGAAGAATATAACTAGAGTTCAATTAAGAGTTGTTTGATATCAGAGCAGCTGGATTTTAGATTATACATATTTTTTCTTAGGATAAAGAGTCGTATATCTCTATGACTCAGCTCAATGACACGTCTCGCTGTGATCAAGTAAGCAGTCTAACCCTATTTTGAAGTATATGATATGTTGTAAAACTTGTATGAATTTATTGTATGTTTTGAGTTTCGTGGTAGTTATAAAATGTCCTTGGACATTAAAGAGTGAATGTTAACCATATAAGATAATAATGGATCAAAGTTATAGTGTCTAGTAGGGTGAGGAGGAAAGGAGTGGTCGTGAGATATCTCACTAGCCTTAGGAAAACAGAGAGTTGTCGTTGCAGAGTGCGAGATATCTAACCAATGGAATTTTGGTACTAGAAATGGTGAAACTAGAGATGGTCTCCAAACGTCTGTATGGACCATTTCCAATTGCACTTTCTATGGTTCTCGCTTTTGTGAAGTTAACTTGTTTATATTTTTCCATAACGCAGCTCTCACAAACACCCATATTAATAGATTTTAGGCTTTCTAAAACTTCATTTGCAGCCATCATCTTCATTTATTTGAATCTCATATGTGCAAGTCTATTGACACTCTTGTAGGGAAATTAAGGAAAAATTGAATAGAAATAAAATATTAATAACCAATAGTTTCTTTAGGATATGCACTCTACCATCTTAGCTACATCCTCACAATTCTTTCATAACAAAATTCAAAACTACACGTCATCAATAATAGTGAAATTGAAAAAATATTTCTCCTCGTTATGTCAAAAATAAGGAAAAATTGAATAGAAATAAAATATTAATGAGTTTCTTCAAGGGATGCACTCTACCATCTTTGCTACATCCCCACAGTTCTTACATAACAAAACCAAAAATCTTCGTACCTGTCGCATGCAAAGAGTGCACTCAACCATCTTACCTACCTACATCCCTACAATTCTTCTTACATCACAAAACCCTAAACGTCCCATCATCAATAAAAGTGAAAATGAAAAACTCCCTTTGATCATTATGTCATAAATAAGAAAAAGTTGAAAAGTAATAATATATTTTAATAATTGATAGTTTTTGTTTGGAGATGGAGGGTAGCGATCCCCTTACCTCTCACATGGAAAGCAAGCGCTCTACTATTTTGATAGTGTTAATATAGCACATTGGGAAGCAATTTAGATCTTAGACCCTCTGAGTACATCAATTATAATAAATTAGTTAGTATGTTTAAAAGCATTAAAACTCAATGAGTTTGAATACTTACCTTTTGTAGTTTAAATTCCTTTTTCCTCACGAACCGATTTCGAACCACCAGTAGTGTCTTCCCTGCTATTCTCCAACCTTAAAATGAGATTGTAGAATCCCGTGAGTGACTAAATTTGAAAGGAATGTAGTATATGTAAAGAGAGAGTTTTGAGAGAATTTCTCAAAGTTTTTCAAGAATACTTTACATGTAACTTGATCACTCTATTTATTGATATTTGCATGAAATTTGAGATCACTCAAATTTGAGATTACAAAATTTTGACACTCAAAATTTCACTCAAATTTGTGGGATTATATGGCAAACATGCAAGTTTGGTTAAATAAAATTTTGACACTCAAAATTTCACTCAAGTTTGCGGGATTATTGCCAAACATGCAAGATTGTTAAACCATATATTGACACTCAATATTCCACTAACTCAAACATGGATTTTTCGATGACGTAAAGTCAACATTTTGACTTTCTCTATTTTAATTCAACAATTAATGTAAATAATTAATTTCAAACCAAAATAATATTAAATTATTAATTAAATAATTTAATTAATATTTAGCATTAAATCAAATGCCAATCCCAATCAATTGCGGCACATTGATTATGAATCCGTATTGATAATTAAAATATTTAAATCTTATTTACATATCTCCAATTCTCTCATTTTGTTTAATTCGTAATTAAATAAAAATTGGGTTAAATAGATCGTATATATTTAGCGCATATTCCCTAATTTGAGTTCGAACAGTTCAAACTCACTCGTCACACTGTTCTAAGGTTTAGTCCGATATGAGCTAGCAGGGGGATCTAATGGACCTATAGATCATGGGCTCCAACGAAACGAGATTAACCGGCTAAACTCATTAACCTTTTAACCAACATTCATTAACTACTAGGACACTACACTATAGCCTAGTAGTTGCACTCCCCTCACTATAGATATATTTCTGTCCATTCGATATAACCATGATTAGTAAGTCGATCCTTCACAAGTTGTTCGTAACTAGAGTTGGGTAATTTACCGTTTTTACCCCCCTAAAGTTACTTCTTGTTCCTAAAGTCCCACTGATCCTCTAATGAACAATTGGTTTGTGGTCCAACCACCAAACCGAATCCCTCTCGGGCAAATGAGAGGGTGGGGCCCCTTGTTCAAGACCTGAAGTTAGTACTCAAGGGAACAACCTCTCTACTATCCCTAAAAGTGGGTAGGAGTGAATTCTATCTTGCATCCTATGTCCTCAGCTATTCACCCAGTCTTACCCTTGAAATGGGAGGCTTATTGAGTCGGCGAACTCGGGCCACTCTCACCCATGCAAATCTAAGAATAATTTCGAATAAACAGGAGTTCATAATTAGCTCAGGATTAAGGTCGAGTTACCTAGGTCATCGAGTGAAAAAATCAGTCTCATCAGTAAACGCCATTATAGAGTGAGAGTGGTTTTCTTCATGGTCCGATCTTATGCAATAGTCATTGCATAGGACGCCCCCACTCACACGTCTTCACATGTACAATTTAGTGATCACAATTGTTTATATCATATACAAAAGTGGGCTGCATCCATAGGGTCCCCAAAATAAGGTACTCAAACTTATCCTTGTACTATAGATCATTTTGATTATATACTTGAAGTTGATCCACTCTGATGTCTCTACCTATAGTTCAAGTAATCATACTATAACCAGAGTATTCTTAGTTTAATGAAT